TGCACAAAAGCACCTGCTTTTGCGCAAAATCTTGCCAGTCTAGATGCACCCGATAATTCCCACTCTGCTGCTAGACTTCTGACTCCATTATTTTTTTACTGTGGCTGGATCCTTGGTTTGGTTGCTTCTAAGTGGGATTTTTGTTGTTGGTTTATTTTGTTTTATTTAAAGGGGGGGAGGTTGCAAAGGAAAGGGAGCCTTATTGGCTTAAGTTTAGAGACTGTTTATTAGGATATTACAGCGGGCTGTCATAAATTCCCTTTGAAAAATCTACTCTTCTAGGTCATGTTTTGGTGGGTCCTAAAATCATATTGGACAGACATGTAGAGTGCACATGGTCCAATATAGAAACTCATAGCCAAGATGTGGTTGGTGATGGTAGCTGGGAGCAGCAGCCACAAATGCCTGCTGGTATGTATATATATATGTATATATACATATATACAGGGCTCAACAATCTATGTAATCTACTTGCCCGTAGTGAGTAGATTATATCCCGGAAGAGCCGGGTTCTGGTGATCTGCGCATGCACAGAACGATCTGCGATGCGCAGAACTCCGGACAGCGCGGTTGGCGAGCGGGGCTTGCTGTGGCTTGGCTAGCCCTGTTTTATATATATATATATATATATATATATACACACACACACACATACACAGGGCTAGCCAATTATATATAATTGAGAACTCTTGTTCTTTCTGCCTGACTCTAGTGTTCAAACTTTGTTCATGGTCATATTCACCCAGGTTAGTTACATATGCTATAAATTCAGGGCTTGTTTTTCTTGTGTATTCTAAGTGCTGCTTCATTTTTTTCCCTTTTATAGAGCTGTCCTGTAATGAGCCACTGGGATCCCTCTTCACCTACTGTACAACTTTTTTGTGGAGGAGGCAGGGAGAAAGATGATTTATAGGCACTCTCCAATTTAATCTAAAAATACTGCCTTAACTGCTTAACTGGAGGGGCTTGAGGGCAAACACAACACCTGATTTAAATGTGTTTTTGAAATGTTATTCTTCCACTTATTATAGTTTATAACCTGCATTATAATTCCCACTCTGAGTTGAAATAGTTATCCATCTGTAAATGAAACTGTTGGCGATTCCCTTCACAAACTATCTTCAACACTGAATTTGTTTTTTATCCTTTTTTGCTTATGAAACTTGCAACAAAATACCATGGTCTTAACGTACTTTATAAAATATCAGCCAGGCTAGAAATCTATGACAACATAATATAAACTGCAATAATCCCTCTAATGTATTGCATTTTAGCATCATATTCCCATAATTGCTTTCTTTATCAATATTTTATAACTAGCCAATAGCCAGTCATAAGACGGGATTTTCAGGTCTCTCCTCCACGTCTCTCTCTCTCTTCTCCTCCTACTGCCTTCCCCCCCTCCCCCAGCTCACCTCCACCTCCTGCCTCTCTCTCCGTCTCTGTCTTTCTCTTCTTCTCCCCCTCCTGCCTCTCACTCGGGAAACCACGGAGCCCAAACAATCGTTTGGGCTCTGCGCTCCCTGTGCTACATGGGGAGTGCGGAGCCCAAACGGTTGTTTGTGCCACTTGCTCCCGCGCGGTGGCCCAGCTGAGCGGAGCAGAAGTCAGCTGAGTGCCACTGTGGGAGGTGGGGTGGTGACGTTCACAGCCAAGGGCGGGGCCTGGAGCCGCTGTCATGCCGTATGTCACCACCCCACCTCCCTTTACCTCCTGCCGCTGCGCTCCG